TTCCTCCTCCTCCTTCCTCCTCCTCCTCTCCCCTTCCTCCTCCTCCTCCTCCCTTCTCCTCCTCCTCCTCCTCCCTGCTTTACCCTGCAGTCTCACATTGGATGGCTCAGGTCAAGACTGGGTGGATCCCTCCGACGCTCAATTGCGATGAGCCTGGTGATTGATGAGGGCAAGCAGGAGGGAGGGAGGAGGAGGAAGAGTAGAGAGCAACGGAAGGTGCAGAGTGACAAGCAGGAGGAAGAGAAAGGGGATGGAAAAGATGGAGGAGGAGGAGGAGGAGGACGAGGAGGAGGAGGAGGAGGAAGAGAGAAGAGGCTGAACTTGTCGCAGATATCGAGGACGGATGCGACTTGGATTACACTCGGCACAAGGTCAAACCTACCCCTCCTGCCCCTCGCTCTCCTACCCCTCCTGCCCCTCGCCTCCCTCGCTCTCCTACCCCTCCTGCCCCTCGCCTCCCTCGCTCTCCTACCCCTCCTGCCCCTCGCCTCCCTCGCTCTCCTACCCCTCCTGCCCCTCGCCTCCCTCGCTCTCCTACCCCTCCTGCCCCTCGCCTCCCTCGCTCTCCTACCCCTCCTGCCCCTCGCCTCCCTCGCTCTCCTACCCCTCCTGCCCCTCGCCTCCCTCCTCTCCACTTGCTCTTCTACTTCTTCTCACAACTATCTGCAGGCCGTCAAGATGGAGCGTGTGCGTGCTGCCATCAGCGACAACCTTGGTACGAGGAGAAGGATGTTGCAGAGGAGGAGAATGGGAGTACGTGGCAGTACTGGGGGAGGATGTTGCAGAGGAGGATAGGAGGAGGCAGACAGAGAGGAAGAGGAGGACGAGAATTTGTGCTGGAGGAGGAGACTGACGGAGATGGCAGGCTTTGGAGGCCACAATGCCGCAATTGTCTTCAAGGAGTACAGCAAAAACTGAGAACGGGCAGAGACAAGCATCACGGCATACAAAGTGTCTGAAGGAGGAGCAGGAGGAGGACGATGGAAGTGGAGGAGGGGAGATGAATAGTTGGGGGGGAGATGTGGGGACAGGACGAGGAGCGAGGACGGACTGTCAGTAAAGTTTTCATTCGCTTCATCTGGAGGCAGGAGGAGGAGATGGAAGTTTCATCCCGGTAGCGTAGAGGAGGTTGTTGAGACGGGCCTTTCCTTTCTCCCTCAGATTGCTCTTGTCTCGCTCCTCCTGCAGAAGATTTCTGACCTCCTTGACCTGCTCGATCCTCTCTGCGTTCTCCCTCCTCCTCCTCAGTGACTTCTCCTTCATCTGCCGCCAAAAGTCCTGACGATCATGAACCACTGCCGTCTCCTTCCGCTCCTCCTTTCCACAGTCTCCTCCTTCACCTCCTGCTCCTGCTCCTGCTCCTGCTCCTGCTCCTGCTCCTGCTCCCTTTCCCCCTGCTCCTCCTCCTCCTGTTCCACCTCTGTACGCGGTCCTGCTGAGGCTGAGGAAGCGATCTCCCTCCTCAGAAAACCAGGCGGACTCACGAGCAGGCATCAAGTTCTCCCACGTGTCATGCGCTGCCGCGTTTCTCCCCTTGTAGCTGTCAAGGAACCCGCGTGAAAGACCAGGATACAGCGCTCCTGTGCTCGGTGGAGGATACCCTCCGCTCTTTGCTGTCCTCACTCTCACTCCCTCCCCTGGAGACCTCACTGGCGAGAAGGTGTCCCTGCTGAATTCTCCTCCTCCTCCTCCTCCTCCTCCTCCTTGG